AAGAGTATACATCCCGCAAGATTCCTTTTCAGATATGACAGGGTAATAAAGGCCATCCCAGACAAATAGAAGCTGAAAGACTCTTCAAATACTCATCTCCCCTACACGAAATGCTGATAGGAGCACTCTTGTAGAAATCAAAGATAATGAACAAGAAAATAGAATCAGAAAAGTAACAACAAAATGATGATAGTAAATCCTCATATATCAACAACCCTACTAAATATAAATGGACTGAACTCACAAATCAAAAGGCACAGACTGATTGGATCAGAAAACAAACCCCAACTTTCTGCTGTCTCTAGGAAGTATACCTGAGCTCCAAAGATAAACATAGGCTCAAAGTAAATTATTGGAAAAATATCCCACAGGCAAATGGGACCCTCCCTTCACAAATTGCAGGACAGTCATATTTACATCAGCCAAGATAGACATTTAGGTAGAAAAGGTAACAAGAGACAGGGATGTAATTTAGATAATTATCAAAGAATTATCAGGAAGAAATAACACTCATCAACAGATATGTAACAAATGAAGAGGTATCAAAATATGTAAGGCAACTATTAATAAATCTAAAAAGAGATATTGACAGAAACACAATTGAAGTGGGAAGCTTCACTACCCCACTTTCAAAAATGGACAGATCAACCAGTTAAAAAATCAACATGGAAACAATCACCTGAAATGAGGAATTAGACTACAGGAGCTTAATAGATATTTACCAGTGCCTCCCCAGTGGCGCAGCAGTTGAGTGCTGGGCTGTGAAGCTGCCTGCGGCCTCTGCAGAGCCAGTTCGATCCCTGGCTGCTGGCGAGGGTCCCACATGGTGCGTAGACCTCTCCAGCTGCACCCGCTGCTCCCCTCAGCAGTGTACTTCGTCAGTCTGCCTGTTCTACTACCCGCTCTGGCTCTGGGGAATTCTCTCACCCTCCCACACTTCTGACTGTACCCAGTGCTTGTATAAATAAATAAATCTTTATACACACACACACACACACACACACACACACACTGACATCCTAAAAAAAAAAAGATATTTACCAGACACTTCACTGCTCTGCCCCCTCCCTAATGCTGAGTACACATTCTTCTCAAATTCTAATATAACATTCTAGAGAATAGACCATATGCTCGATCACTAAACAAATGTCAAAAAATCCACAAAGATTCTAATCATATCAAATATCTTCTCTATTCACAATGTTATCAACCTAGAAATCATCCACAAAAAGAAAGCAGAAAAAACTCTAACATGTGGATACTATTGAATGACTATTATGTCAATGAGGAAATCAAAAAAATTAAAAAATGACTAGAGACAAACAAAAATGAGCTCCCAGAATCTATGTGACATTGCAAAAGCAGTACTAAGAGGGAAGTACATAGTAATACAGTCCCACATCAAGAAGAAAGATTTCAAATTAATAATGTAAACTTATACCTTAAAGAAAAAGAACTATGAAAACCAAAAGCCAGTAAAAGGGAGGATATAAAAATCAGGACACAAATAAATGAAATAAAAAAGTCCAAAAAAATCAGTGAAATCAAAAGTATAATATTAAAAAAAAATAGACAATCCTTTAGTTTGATTCACAAGGGGAAAAAAGGGCAAAAAACTCTAATAAAGAGAAATAAAAAAGCAGAAGCAACAACAGATATCTCAGAAATACCATGTATAATAAGAAATAATCAACATCTACATGTCAATAAATTGGATAACCTAGAAGAAATGGAAAATTTCTAAAAAACATACAAACTTTACAGACATCACTGAAATTTACATGAGAAAACAAAACATGAAATAATCCTGATAAAAAAAGTAGTACAGAAGTATCATATAAATTATACTACAAAGCTACAGTATTGAAACCAGTATGGTAGTTGGATATTAATAGAAACACAAATCAAAGGTGAAAGGAATAGAATTGAGGGTCCAAAAATAATTCCACACAGTTAATCTATGATAAAGGATCAAAGAGTATTCAATGGTAAAAGGAAAATCTCTTCAACAAATGGTGCTAAATAGGCATATGCAAAAGAATGAAACTAAATCAATATCTCACACCTTCCACAAAAACATAATTCAAAATGAATAAGATAGTTGAATGTAAGACCAGCAATCATAAAATACATAAATGACGGCAGAGTGAGCACACCAGGCTTGACTCCTTCAAACACCCAGTAACTGCACTGCAGTAAAAGAAAGTCACCCCACCAAAAAAAAAAAAACCCTGGGGGAGAAATGGACACCCACTGCACAAACTAGCATTTCACACACAGTCCAGCAGAAAAGTATGGAAGAACTTTAAGAAAACTTAGTTTATAGTGATAATGGGACACTCACAAGTGGGAGGGGCACCTGCTGTGCAGAGCCCCAAATAGTGCAGGCACATACCAACAATGAGGACTCCTGACATCTGGAACTACACTGGGTAGGGGGTGTGCAAACTAGCAACCAGGATGGAGGGTGCATCTGCACTTTTGGAGAACTGCATAGGTAGAGCTGCAGACCAAGGATTACTGACTTGAGCCTAAGGCTTTCAACATAGAACAGCTGGAGCCTAAATTAGCAGGGAGCAGCAGATAAGTATTACCTGGGCACCCTCATCTAGGAGGCTAGATTGGAAGCCTAGGCTGAGATATTCAAAACACGTGCCACCCCCAAACCCCAGGGCTAAAAACATAACATAGAAATGCTTAAATAAACTGTCAACACCAGGAGCAAAGATAAGAGGTTTTGTGAGATGGAAAAGAAAAGAGAACTCAGCCAGTGACTCCATATCAACTACAATCTAGCTGCATCTTGTGCTTACAGATAGCCTGGAGTGGAAGTGGGTTTGAGACTATAAGAGACACTGACTAAGGAACTGACCTGGAAGGGATCACCTTGGATCCCCACCACACAGTGCTCCCAGTACAAAACAACTCCATGAAAAAAAAGTTCATCATCACTTCGAATAAGAGAGATGCAGATTAAAACTACAATGAGATACCACCTCACACCCATGAGAAAGGCACATATGGGAAAGACCCCCAAGAACAGGTGTTAGAGAGGATGTGGAGAAAAAGGAACCCTATTACATGGGTGGTGGGGGTATAAATTGATGCCACCGTTATGGAAAACACTCTGGGTTTACCTTAAGAAACAGAAAGTGAGAAAACATGAAAAAAATCTAAAAATGGAAATACTATACCACCCACCAATTCCACTCTTGGGCTATATCCACAGAATATGAAGCCATCAACGCAAAAACCCATATGTCCCACTGTAGGGGCAGGAAGACCACTGAGCAGGTTTTCTGATCCAGCAGACCGGCTAAAGGAGGAGTCCTGGAGCCCTTGCAGGCTTTTATTTAGATTTACCAGGCACATGGCAGGCAGGGGGCTGGGAGGCCGGCAGGCTGGCCTCCCAGCCCCCAGCAAGTCTTCACTCTATCTGGGCTCTCCGGCCTTCTCTCTGCTTCTCTTCTTCTCTCGGCTTCTCTGCTTCTTGGCTTCTGCTGGCGTCCCCGTGACGCCGCTCTTATAAACTCAGTCTCTCAGCCCAGGTGTACCCACTTCAGGTGCCCACCATCAGGCATGCATTCAGGACCACAGGGTTCCCTCATCTATCCTAATGGTGGGAGGGCAGAAAAGCCTGATACTTTTTACCTTACCCTACACCCACAATGTTCTCACCAGCATTATTCATAATAGTTAGTACATGGAAGCAGCCTAAATGTCCATCTATGGACGACTGGCTCAAGAAGGAAAAAGAAAAATATCAAATGGTTTCACTTATAGCAGGAATACAGGGGAACCAAATAAGACATGAGTGTAAAAAAATAATAACAGTACAAAACACAGCAAAGCAAAAACAGACAATTATAAACCAGAGACATCCTGCAGGGGAGGAGGCGGGAGAGGGATCAAAGGGAAGGAGGGAGGAGCACAGGGGACTGAGGTGATGGTGCACGGGTGCATTGGGGAAGGAAGTTCTATGGGGACTATATCTGAGTGGGGTGGGGGATAAAGCAAACATTGGTTAAAAATGAACAATGATGTAAAAAAATTATTAAAAAAGTAAAATATGCAAAAGAAAAAATTCAGAAAATACATGTATATTAAAACTTAACAAAAATGTGTTTGCTAAACTGGGTGTTTTGCTTCTCCATATAAACTTTAGAACTTGTCCACAAAAAAAAGAAGGTATGATATATCTATATATCTATATATACACACACCATGGAGTTAGTATATAGCTGTCAGAAAGGATGAAATGCAGCCATTTCCAGAAAATGGAGGGAATGTGAGAGAATTATGTGCAGCAAAGTAAGTCAGAATGATGAAAACAATTAATGGCCATTAACATTTCATGTTTCAATAACATGAAATGCTTCCAGAAACTAAGGGGGATTAATAAACACTCTGAGGTTAAGACGGAGATGGGGGACAATAGAGACCAGGAGACACAAGGGATGGTAGTGGTGAAAAAATCTGATTTAAAAGTGGTGTACATTTTTGTCCGTTGCTTTTCTAGCTCATCTAGTTATTCAGATGCAAAATGCAAATATATCTTGCAGGCTTCAGTGCCTGATTCTTAGAGACCTTCTGATGGAAGGGAAGTGCTGAGACAAGCCTCTCAAAGTTGGAAGTCCCTTGCTTTCAGAGTTCCACAGTTACTGTGACACAGTTACTGTGTCCAAAGAGTTCTGATATGATAAGGTTTAATGTCCACAAATGAGTCTTCTTCTACTACTGAAAATGGAGCTAGATAGATAAATCCTCTCACTTTGGACATACAAGTCATTTGTAAATTATTTGTACTCATATATATATCAAAAAAGTGTGGTGAAGATGAACTAAACCAACCTTGGGAAAATAATTTTATAGTTTTTTGTTTTCCAATAATGCTATAATGTAGGAGAACCAAATGCTATAAAAATATTTTTTTCATTATTAATACATTACTCCTCATTCTGGTTTTTCATTCTACTTGCGGGGTGTTTTGTGTAACATACCCGCCTCACATGGCTGACAGCATAACTGACCCACACGATGAAGGTCTCTTGGGCACTCACGCTCGGCCTTAGAGTTGTTAACAGTCACTTGGGCATTAACATCTTTAGGCAATGATCCAACAATAGCAGTAAGTATCTGTAAAACAAAAGCACGAAGAGCATTTTATGGACTTCCGAACTGAACTAAGCAACTTCATAAACGAGCACTAGCCACGTGAATGTCTGATTTTGCATGTACAAACGTCCTGCTGACTCATCTTCAAAAAAGGAACTGGTCAATTGCATGGCAGGGGCCTTCCTGGTGGCACAAGGGGTTAAGCACAGCACTGTGAAGCTATCAGCAGGCAGTGCAACACAAGTTCCATCCCTGGAAGACCAGGGAGCTACCCACATGGTGCAGCAGACCGCTCCTGTCTTGCCTGCTGCTCCCCTCAGCAGTGTATTTCAGTAAATCCTCCTGTTCTGCTCCCCACTCTGTCTCTGTTGAATCCTCTCACCCTTTGCACCTCTGGCCTACACCCCACTTCTTGTATGCATAAATAAATCTTTTTAAAAAATTGCATGGCAGTCCATACCTCCAGTTCCCTAAACTATCTTAGAAACAGCATCATAGATGGTAAGACCTGCCCAGGGCTCTGGATGAAAAACTACTGGCCCCCACTTACCAGCCTGTGACTGTGGGTAAGTCACTTAAATTTTCCAAGTCTCTGTGTCTTTATTTACAAAATGAAAATATTCACTTTTTCATAGATTTATTCTGATAATTAAATTGAATAATGCATTTAAAGCTCCTAGCACAATTCCTGGCACATAGTAAGTAGGTACCCAGTAAGCAGTATTATCATCAATTATTATTATTCCTATTCTAATAAAGCTCCTGTGAAGGACAACATAGTGGAATAGGGAAAAACATGTAATTTCAAGGTGACTGTGGTTTAAATCCCAGTTCTGCTACTGACACTATAAGTTTAGGCAAATGTATAACCTCACTAATTGACAATTTCATGATCTGTAAGTGTCAATAATGCTTTCTGTCTTGAAGGGTTTTTGTGAGGATAAAAGTGATAACTTTTCCCAAACCTGGAGCATGTTCTATTTCTTCCCTTTTTATACATAATCATAGAGCCAACCAGTTTTGATGACCTCTTTCCTGATTGTCCAACCATACAAGAAATCTAATGAGCTTGTCTTCTCTTTTATACAGGAAAATATTTATTTCTCTTTATAGAGAACCAATCTTTAATCAATTTTCAGTTCCTGTCTTCTGGATTAAGAAGCCATAAGTCTAAGTGACTTTGTTTCATATATCTTAGTTATAGACGAGTTTCTTAGAAAAATGAGCATCCTAAAATGGATGGAAGTGATACCGGAATTGTCAGGCCTAGTCTCTCAGCCAGGAACGGATCCCAGGCTGCAGGGCAGCGCTGAGCCCCGGCCATTAGTCCCCCACGGGTTGGTGTCTCACGAAGCCACAGTAGGAACTTCGCAGACGCTCAGGCAAGCAAGCAAGAAGAGGCAGGTTTGTTTATAGAAAGAAAAAGTTTATTGAGGAGAAAAAGAGCAGAAATAAAGTGGGACTCCCAGGCCAGGGAACCAGGCCTGGGAGGGGCAAGGAAGCCAAAGTAGAGTCGTGTCTCAGGGAATATATACTTTCTTTCCCTGATTATTCTAAAGCTCCACCAGTCTCTTTGTGATTGGTCAGTTCTCGGCTGTCTCACTTAATTTGCTACTGAGTGGGGGATCTGCACATTTCTTATCTAACAGGTCTGTCTTTCCCCATTTGTTGCATCTTTATCTTTATGGCCTAGTCTTCCAGGAGAGCATCTCCATACTTTATCTTTATCACCTGAAGCTCTTATTATAATGTCCTTTCCCCTCTGCCCAAGACACAGATGAACTTACCCTAGAATATAGCTGATTTTTATATATGAACAACTAAATGTAAAGAATAACTGGATCTGGTATGGTACACAGAGCAAAGGAATCATGCCTCAATATGCTGACTTCACTATCAAACCATTCTCTTCACCCAAAAGATACTTCTTGAGCATCTACTATGCGCCAGATCTGAGAATACAAATTAACATTGATTGTAATAAAAAATAAATGTTAAGCTTCCAAAAGCAGGTTTGCACATGGGCATGCCATTTATAATGCATTAATAATTTGGAGGTGCTTTTGACTTTTCATGGTAGTCTCTCCTTATCTGAGAGGAAGACTCCAGTGGATGCCTGAAGCTGCAGGAAGTACCAAACAAAATACTATGTTTTTTTTGCTATACATGCATACCTAAGATAAAGTATAATTTATAAATTAAGCACAGTAAGAGATGAACAATAAAATAAATAACAAAATAGAACAATTATAATAATCAAAAGTTATGTGAAAGTGGTCTCTCAAAACATTTCACTGTATGTTGTATCTTTAGAAACCAAGGAAAGCAAAATGCTGATACAGAGGGACTTTGATGTTATTTCAGCTTCAGTTCCAACACTATAATAAAACAATTATTATCACAAAGTGAGTTTTTTCCCTCAATACACACATCAGTTATGTCTAAATTCCACTGAAGTCTGCTAACTGTGCAATGGCAGTATGTCTAAAAAACAATGTAAAATGTACAAACCATAATTGAAAAATACTTGATTGCTAAAAATTGCTGTCATTATTGACCCTTCAGTGAGTCATAATCTTTTTTTCTGGGAGGGTCTTGATGAATGAATTAAGGTGGTGATTGTGAAAAATTGGGGTGGTGATGGCAATTTCTTAAATTAAACAACAAAGTTTGCTTCATCAATTCAGTTTTCCTTTCATGAAAGATTTCTCTGTAGCACATGAAGCTGTTGGTAGTATTTTACCCATAGTAGAACTTCTTTCAAAATTGGAGTCAATCTTCCAAAACTCTACTGCTGCTTGATCAACTAATTTTATATGTAATTCTAAGCCCCTGTTGTCATTTCAGCAATGTTCATAGCATCTTTACCACATGTAGATTCCATCTCAAGAAACCACTTTCTTTGCTCGTCCATACAAAGCAACTCCTTCTTTAATTTTATGATGAGATTATGACAATTCAGTCACCTCTTTAGGTTCCACTTCTAACTTGAGTTCTCTTGCTATTTATTTTCACTACATCTACATTTATGTATTTCACTGAAATCTTGAATCCCTCAAACTCATCTTTTTTTAAAGATTTATTTATTCATACAAGAAATGGGGTACAGGCCTGAGGTACGGGAGAGAATTCATCAGAGACAGAGCAGGGAGCAGAACAGGCAGATGGACCGAGAACCCTGCTAAGGGGAGCAGCAGGCGAGACAGGAGAGGTCTGCTGTGCCATGAGGGTATCTCCCTGGCCTGCCAGGAATTGAACCCGTGCTGCAGAGGCTGTGGACAGCTTTACAGTGCTGCGCTCAACCCGGGAGGCCCCCCTCAAACTCATTCATGAGGGTTGGAATCAACTTCTTCCAAACTGCTATCCATGTTGATATTTTGACATCCTCCAATGAAATCACAGATGTTCTTAATGTCACATAGAATAATGAATCCTTTCAATTGGCTTTGCCCAAATCCACCAGACAGTTATAATCTTATGAAATGTATTTCTTAACAAATATGATTTGAAAGTTGAAATCACTTCTTGATTCATGGTTTGCAGATCGAATGCATGTTAGCAAACATGAATCTCTTTGTACATCGCCACTAGATGCATGATCAATAAGTTGCAATATTTTGAAAAGAAACTTTTTTTCTGGTAGCAAATTATTCAATAAACTATGTTGTAAATGGATGCACTGCTATCCAAATTTTTTGCTGTATTTATAGAGAACAGGGAGTTTAGATTTAGCATAATTCTTAAGGACCTTGGGAGTTTTGGAATGGCAAATGAGACTTGGCTTCAACTGAGAGACATAATCTACATTAGTCCCTAATAAGAGAGTCTGTCTGTTCTTGGAAGCTTGAATTTAAGTATTGACTTCTCTCTAGCTATGAAATTCCTAGATGATACCTTCTTCCAACAGAAAGCGTGTTTGTCTGCACTGAAAAAACTGCTGTCTAATGTAGCCACCTTCATCAATAATCTTACCTACAGCTAGATCTTCTGGATAACATGCTGCAGCTTCTATGTCAGCACTTGCTGCTTTACCTTGTAGTTTTATGTTATGAAGATTTTTTTTCTATCTTAAATCTTATGAACCAACTTATGCTATTTTTAAACTCTTCTACATTTTCCTCACCTCTCTCAGCCTTCAAAGAATTGAATAGTTAGAACTTTTTTCTCAGTTGGGCTTTGGCTTAATGGAATGTTATGGCTGGTTTGAATATTTATCCAGGCCACTCAAAATTTCTCCTTATCAGTAGTTAGGGTGTTTGCTTTTTTTACATTTATATCTTCACTGAAGTAGAACTTTTAATTTCCTTAAAGAACTTTTCCTTTGCATTCAACACTTAGCCAACAAAATGGCACAAAAGGCCTAGCTTTTTGCATATCTCAGCTTTTGACATTCCTTTCTAAGCTTAATCATTATTAACTTTTCATTTAAAATTAGAGATATGAGTCTTCCTTTCACTTGAACATGAGGTTATTGCTGCATTATTAATTGGTTGAATTTCAATATTGTTGTCTTTCAGAGGCCTGAGGTGAGTGAGGGAGATAGGGAAAAGCTGATAGGTGGAACAGTAGAACACACATTTACTAAGTTTGCAGTCTCGTATGGGTGCAGTCCATAGCACCCCAAAACAATTACAATAGTAATATCAAATATCACTGATCACATATCACTATAACAGATAAAAATAATGAAAATTTTGAAATATTGTGAGAATTAAAAGTTGTGACACAGACAAAAGTAGAGTGTGTGCTGTTACAAAAAAATGGCACTGATAGACTTGCATTGCCACACACATTCACCTTGTAAAAAAATGCATTATCTGTGAAGTGCAATAAAGTAAGGTGTGTCTGTACTGTATTTGCATGTCTCATGTTTTAAAATAATGTGAATTTATGATCTTTTCCTAGGGCAAAATGTATAGCTTTAAACAAAAGCTCTTTAGTAGCATTAATTTCTCTTTTCAGGATGACAGTTCCCTTCTTCTAGCTTTCTCTATATAGCTTGTCATCTTGTTAATAATATT